GCGATCATGGCTCTCCACAATTTCCTGTCCTTTGTAACTCTTAATAAATGATGTCTTTCTTATCTCTCCTAAACCCTGTTCTGCCATCCACTTCCTCAAGCTGTTCGTCTATGTGCCGTGTCCCTTCCGCTAGTTGGCGATCATGGCCCTCCACAATCTCCTGTGCTTTGTATCTCTTAGTAAATGATTTCTTTTTGTTATCTCTCCTAATCCTTGTTCTGACATCTCTTTACTCAAGTTCGTTCTTCTTTTTAGGACGTTGGTGATCATGGCTCTCCACAATTTCCTATCGTTTGTAGCTCTTAAAAAATGTTGTCTTTTTGTTATCTCTCCTAAACCCTGTTCTGCCACCCATTTACTCAAGCTCTTCTTTTTCTATTTGCCGTGTCCCTTCAGGACCTTGATGGTCATGGCTCTCCACAATCTCTTCTAAACCCTGTTCTGCCGTTATAAATTCCGACACCTTATCCGTTAGACTAGCTTCACATGCGATTTTGCAACACCTAGCATTTCCAAGCGGTCACCCATCGAGGTGCTGACCAGGGTCGACGTTGCTTAACTTCGGTGATCGTACGAGAACCAGTGTTTCAGCATAATATGGTCATAAGGAGAGAAGATAGAGAAGTATATTGAAAGTTTGATAAAAAAAAAAAGGAACTCCGATAAGATCAGTTCAATTCATGTGCGTTATTTTCAGTCAAAGAACAACAGATTTGAATTATCGTAGTTTGGTCAAGCCGGAGATTATGGCTTACACGAGTCTCAGACTAGGGAATTCTTGAACATATAACCGGAAATGTTGAAGAGGAGGTGGATGATAATGAAGTCCAAGACCCGCTCTGCCCAAATTTCAAACACAAATGCAATTATTATGCTTGACAATTGTTCAAATTGGTTGCGTATTCAGGCACAAGCTACCTTTATAAATACACCTGCGTTAGGGAGTTAGAGACAGAAAAAAAAAACCAGTCCAGACCGGAGAATGGTAGATGCGTTTCTTTTCTAGCATAAAATACAGGGTTATTAAAAAAAGAATGAACTGATTTCGATTCAGTTCTCAAGCATCATCATGGAATGAGTAAGTGACAATTTGAAATTTGAGTTTTCTAAGATTTGAATGGCTGACATAGGGGCGCTGTAGTCGCGTCGTATCTCCGGCAACGTTCAGTTGTTTGTTTACCCCACGGAATGGCGATTCCTCAGGAAAAGGCGTTCTGCGGTCTCGAGTTTGCGTAAACAAATACGGTTGTCACGGTGCAGCATTCTTTTCGAGGGCAATTCGACATTTATACTCCCTCTCCTAAGAACATTCGACAATGGTTTAAAAAGTTTCAAAGAGTACCTGTGTAAAGGGAAAAGAGTCCAGGATGACCACGAGTTTCGGAGGAACAAGTGGCGAGAATCCGTGCTGCGTTTATGGGGAGTCGACAGAAGTTCACAAATCGAGCTAGCCGTGAACTTGCGATCTCTCGATTCACTATCTGGCGTGTGTTAAGGAGACGTCTACATTTAAAAACATTACAGACTACGCCTCGTCCAGGCACTTACCAAGACCTTGCTCTTTGTGTTTGACTTGCAAGATCCTCAGACCTCACCGTGTGTGATTTTTTCTTGTGGGGATACGTAAAAGATCACGTTTATGTTCCACCCCAACCCACTAACATCGATGACCTTAAACATCGAATAACAAAAGCGATCAGTTCAATGGGTCGTGATATCCTGATACGCATATGGGAGGAATTCTCTTATCGCACTGATGTTACCCGTGCTGCAGGTGATGGCCACATTGAACTATTCTAAGACAGGAAATAAAAGTTGGTTGTGAGCAGAATACTTGTGACTTGGCTGGAGTTTTCCATTGCGGATATATATATATATATATATATATATATATATATATATATGACAAATTGAAAAATGTTTTTCTGACGCGTTTCATCCCTTGTCAATGCCATTAATTCAGTGGTGAATATATTAGTACATCAATAAGTCCATAGTTTGATTATCAAAATTTATTTACTTTGCATAACAATTACTTATTTTATCATTTGAATAATCCTGGATATATATATATATATATATATATATATATATATATATATATATATTATATATTAAGTTGATGTCTGTCCCACACCAAGGGAGCTTAAGGATAGAGAATTGAAATGCCACATCTAACTCACTCATGTCTTCTCTCACCACTAACTTCCTCACTTCGTTAGTTAACATATGCTTAATACGGCCCGTCAGAAATGTGTAAATATTTTTCTTTTTCATTTCAACCTTTGGAAGTAAAGTCTGATCAGTCAGAGCCCTTTAAAAGGGCTGTGGGGAAATAACTTATTACATGGAAGCGGTTAAATTTTTATTCAAATATATATATATATATATATATATATATATATATATATATATATATATTGAGGAATTTATGAGGAATGAGTTCGAATTCCATTCGAATCCATTACATACACTTACATGCTAATACCCTTGAGAAAGGTATTAACCCCTTTCTTTTTACCCCAGCTATGGGTAAATTTTAGGACAGACTGGGTTCTATAGTTGCCCATGCGGCTGGTGGTGGCCTTATTGAAGACAGGAAATAAAAAAGTTGAATGTGTGTAGAATACTTGTGACTTGGCTGGAGTTTTCCATTGATTTCCCTTATTAATATATATATATATATATATATAATATATATATATATATATATGACAAATTGAAAATTGTTTTTCTGACACAATTCATCCCAAAAAGTTCTTCCTTGTCAATGCACTTAATTCAGTGGTGAATATGTATGTAAGTCCATAGTTTGATTATTAAAATGTATTTATTTTGTATAACAATTATTTATTTTATCATATAATCTCCTTTTTGTCAATGCACTTAATTCACTGGTAAATATGTATTTACGTCAATGAGTCCACGGATTCATCATGAAAAATGCATTTATAACAAATAACAAATTTTTCACCATGATCACTTTCTTTGTCAATGCACTTAATCCATTGAACTTTAGTAAGACAGGAAATAAAAGTTGATTGTGAGTCGAATACTTGTGACTTGGCTGGAGTTTTCTATTGCTTTTCGTTATTAAAATATTACGTAATGAAATCGTTTCATTCTTTTTGAATAACCCTGTATATCAAGAACTGAATTGGGGAAATTGTATGAAAAAAGTTTACTTGTGACGCATTTCTTCTTTCAGAATTTCACTGGACTAAATTTGTTTTGTTGGTATGACTGCACATGCGCACAGCAGAGGGATGCTGGGAATTTTAGAATTTTTTTTAGGAGTTTTTTTTATGCCTTTCATCTGTTGCTTGGACATCCAGTATTGGGATTTATATCCGGATGAAGAGGCAATTGTTAAAATTTCACATTTTAAAATAATTCTTATGGTATTGATGTTGCCCGTGCTGCAAGATGTGGCCATATTGAATACTTGTAAGACAGGAAATAAAAGTTGATTATGAGTAGAATACCTGTTACTTGGCTGAAGTTTTCTATTGCGTTTCCTTATTAAAATATTACGGAATGAAATCGGTTCATTCTATATATATATATATATATATATATATATATATATATATATATTGAGGAATCGGTGAGTCGAGTTCTAATTACATTCGAATCCATTACATTCACTTACGTGGTAATACCCTTGCGAAAGGTATGAATCCTCTTCTCTTTACCCCCAGCTATGGGTAAATAGCTGGACAGACTGGATTCGATAGTTGCCCCTGCAGCAGTTGGTGGTCGCATTGAAGACAGGAAATAAAAGTTGAATGTGAGTAGAATACTTGTGACTTGGCTGGAGTTTTCCATTGATTTTCCTTATCAAAATATTGCGGATATATATATATATATATATATATATTTATGAATAAAAATGACAATAGGAAAACTGGTAATTGCTGACGCGTTTCGTTCAATGTGGACTTTATCAAAGCAAAATACGAAAATGAAATTAATTGAATAAAGTAACTAATAAAAACAAAAACAGAATGTTCTCAGCAACTGGAATGTAGGGAAACGCTATTTTCATATTTTTAACTGAAAAATAACGTCAGTATTTGGCACGTGTGGAGAATATTGTCATTATATCTGTGTTGATGTATTCAACCATTTTCTTTTGATTTTATGAATCTGTTGTGTATATTTTTTTGTAAGAGCATTAATTTTGTTAAGAAAGGTGAAATGGGGAAAAAAGCTGGGCGTAGATTAATATTTGGGTAATTTTCTATGACGGCACTCTCCAGAATTTTCCTTCTGAGTGAGTTATTTTCTTTTTTTATGAGTGTAGCATTTTTAAAATCAAAATTATGGTTGAATTTATTTCTATGTATGACTAGTGCATTAGCTAAGTTATTTTTTGTGAGGTCTCTTTTGTGCTCATAAATGCAATTTTTTTTTCAAACTTCTACTTGTTTCTCAATATATTGAGAGGAAAAGTTTTTTAAAAACGCATTTCATTCTGTTTTTGTTTTTATTAGTTACTTTATTCAATTTAATTTCATTTTCGTATTTTGCTTTGATAAAGTCCACATTGGACGAAACGCGTCAGCAATTAAAGTTTTTTTATTGTCATTTTTATTCATAAATATTGTCTTCTCTACTGCTTAAATTAGAGAATTTTATATATATATATATATATATATATATATATATATATATATATATATAAATTGAAAAATGTTTTTCTTTAATTAAATTTAAAAAAGTTAAATTTGTCAATTCAGTGGTGAATTTGTAACATGCATCAATAAGTCCATAGTTTGATTATTAAAATGTATTTACTTTATATAAAAATTATCTATTTTATCATTTAATCATTTTTTGTCAATTTTAATTCATTGGCAAATATGTAAATATGGTCAATGAGTCCACAGATTCATAATATAAAAATGCATTTATAACAAATAACAAATTTTCACCATGATCACTTTTTTGTCAATGCACTTAATCCATGTGAACTTTAGTAAGACAGGAAATAAAAAATGATTGTCAAAAAATCGAATACTTGTGACTTGGCTGGAGTTTTCTATTGCTTTTCCTTATTAAAATATTACGTAATGAAATCGTTTCATTTTTTTTGAATAACCCTGTATATGTCAAGAACTGAATTGAATATTTGAATGAAAAGAGTTCAATGATGCATTTCTTCTTTAAGAACTTCACTGGACTAAATTTGTTTCGTTGGTAGGACTGCACATGCGCATATTTTTTCAGGGATGCTGGGAATTTTAGAATTTTTTTTTTTATATTTTTTTTTCTGTCTTTCATCTACTGCTTGGACATCCAGCACTGGGATTTGTATCCGGATCAAGTGGAAAGAGTTAAAAATTCACATTTTAAAATAACTGAAAAAAAAAAAAAATTAGTTGTTTCAAAAGTTTTTAATTTATATTAAGTAACACAAAAACTTTGTGAATTTAATTTTTTTCTTTGTTTTAAATTCAGTTCAAAACATCTCTAAAACTTTGTTAATTGAGAAACCATTTTTTTTATTTCTTTAAACTGGTTAAATAGAATCAAGAGGTAAAAGTGACAAGCTTACGTGATATGAGGTTTGAAAATGATCAAAAATGATTTGAAGAAAAGTT